GGGGGGAGGGTGTTTAAGATGTATGTGGGTGGGGAGAAAATGTTACCCTTTTTTCACTAATGGTTTGTATGATTATCTGTTTTCATAGGAGACCAAAACTGGTGAAGATAGAGAAGGAGACAGACGGCTTATTCTAGAAGAGTGTAGGAAATGGAGCAATGCATACCCAAATGCTACATACCCACTAGAAGTCAGGGGTAAAATTTATTTGGAGGATTCAATATCTGATAGTAAGTATATTTGGAGTTTTACTTTGAATTATCAGAAAGGAGTTATTTCCAGTCCTGTATAGCAGTTTGATCAAGTTTTGAAATAATAAGAAAAGGTTGATCATCTAGCTAGAGTTTAAGTGAACATTTTACATTTTACAAATGACTAAGCTATTGTATAAATGGTAGTTTAAGCCAGATAATTTTGCTTATTTACTGGAGTATTCTCTGATCCTAGACCAATGAAACCTGTGCCTGTCCCATCCATATCCTTTCCTATTCCATCTTTCCATCCCAGTCTGTCATGTCCCATTTCAATCCATCTATTTCTTATCTTGTCGAGTCATTTCTTGATGTCTTATCCTATCCCACTCCATCTGTCCCACTCTTTGTGTCCTATCTCATCTCATCTTATGCAATCTGTTCCCATTACAATTCATTCCCATGATGGTTTTAATTCATTAATATTATTTCTGGTCCTTTTCCATCCACAAATGCTTGCATTACTGCCTTCTTGCTTTTTGCAATCCACTCACATTATTTTGATGCTTACTTGTGTTTTGCAAAAAAATTGATTCATCAGCTAGTGCTCAGGTCCCTGATGTATATCAAACACTCTGCCATCTGGATCCGAGTTCTGCTGTTGGAAAAATAGGCCTTGGATGGAGTTTGCTGAACAAAAATGATTTCATTGATGCACGAGCATTGCTAGAACAGGGTACGATCAATACATATTTGATGATGTTTATTTTTTCATATAATAATAAAAATATTGTTTTATTTTTTGTATATATGAAATTGCAATTATTATTCCTTAGGCCAGTAAAACAAATGACCCGATCGTTTTAGATACATGCACTCTTATCTAAAACAGTATTTCAACCAATCGGAGCTAGTAGGCTAAACATGCATAACTGACTATGTTCACAGGTTTGCAGTCCTACCCAAACTGTCCAGTTGGCTGGCTGTGCCTAGTTAAAGTACAACTTGCTCTTCATGACTATAGAACTGCTGAAAAAAGTGCCAGCAAAGGTCAGTATGAGTAGCTAATCCAAGATTATTTCAGGGGGGTTGGCGTTACCTTACAAAGCCAGCAGTTTCTTCTCACATATTAATTAGATTTTACATTTTTGAAAAGCACAGGTGACAGAGTGCTTTTGTTTCATCCAATCATGTGACCAGGTATATGTGATGTTTGATATGTATGACATCGCAAACAACAGCATTATGCTGCTGTAAATAGAACTTTCACATGGATTGCCAAGTATAGTTTCTGGAGTGATTGATATGAGTCATGCAATAATGACACAATGTTGGTGCAATGATTACTATATCATACACCTAATTGCAAAAACGTAGTCGGGTTCGAGAAGGTCATATCATGGAAGCTAAGACCGAAAAGGATTTTGGGTACTCCGAAATGTGTATTATATTTGCATATAGACATGTAAAAATGCACAGTAGTGCAAAGTCGGTCAACCTAGATTAACAACATGCAAAAGCTATGATGCATAAAATGTGAACAGGAAGGAAAAACTGCAATACATATGAAATTAGCATAATTGTTTGTCTTCCCATGCTCCCCTTCAGTCTTAGCTCTTTATTATAGATATGACCTTTTTTTGAACGCTACAACGATTTTTCAATTAGGTGTATAAGCTACACACATCTGATTAAAAAAACAGTCAATATTTGGAATGGACCAGCTTAGTCCCTGAAACCCTAGGACATTAAGTGACCAGTGTCAGAAGTGGGATACAAACCCATGCCTCCATTGGGAACATTACAGTTTCTGACACTACCCGGCCAACAGTTGACCAATCTTTTGCTCTTTTATAAAATATTTGAGTTGCAATTTCTTACAGGGATAAAATATATTGGCTCAGTTGGTGAAGAAATACAAAGGAACCGCCTGAATAGACTTTTAAGGTAAATAAAAATATTGTAAATTAGGGTAAAAGGGAAATAAAACATGCTCTATGTCTGTCTGTTTGTCTGTCTGCCTGTCTGTCTGTCTGTCTGTCTGTCTGACTGTCTTGGATATCAATGATGTCTGAGGTCACCTCTACTTGGCATCACAAGTGAATAAAGTTTGTTAGGTCTCTCCTAGCCTTAAATTGATTCCAGGGCTTTTCCATGTTCTGTGAAAAACCTAATGTCAAGCCAAATTCAATGTGTGAATAGTTAGTCATGCCATGACTTAAATCAGTCCAGAGGTTGTTTTTGGGTATTGATAAAATAAATCTGATTCAATAAATCTTTGACTTTGCTGCAGATTGAAGCAAGCTGATGCTCTATGTAACCAAGGCTCTTCAAAAGCTGCACAAGCAAAAACAATCTTAGAAGAGGTAAAAACAGTCCTTTAGCTCAATTTCTGAGAGAATTTAGAAACTTTGTATCTTAGATTATTTTTGGGCTTTTTTCAGATTTTACTGGCTAATGAGGAAGATCTAGAGGTGCTTACTAGCCTTGGAGAGACAATGCTGGTACTGGGAGATACCAAACAAGCTACAGAGGTGATCATGAGTTTCTCTAGGATTAAAAGGCAAATAAAGGGAAAGTGATGGTGGTGATGATGCAATGATGGTGGTGGTGATGATCAATGGTGATGATGATGATGATGATGATAAAATGGGCATAAATGTTGTGGTTTTCATAATATGATGAAGGTGTTAAGTTAGTGCTGGTGATGATGTTGATAATGATGATATGTTGTTGTTGATCATGATCGTGATACATGTATGATGATGATGATGATGCATTTAGTATGATCATGATGGTGATGATGATTAGAACAAACTATTACAATATACCTTTAAAGTGCCTATAACCTTTATAGGATTATGATCAATTTTGATTTTCTGTGTGCTGGAGATGAATAAACAAAAATTTTTTTTTCGATTGACTAAATATTCTCGGAGATATAACGCCCTAAAGTACGCAGTTTTGCCACGCCCCATCAATTTGGACGGGATTGCGAGGTCTGGTACCTAGTTGGCGTCGAATGACGTCACAACAAGAACAACTCGGCTTAAAAAAAAGTAAAACAAAGTAAAACAAAGTAGAGCTTGGCTGTTCCTTTCAGTGTTTTTACCTGTTTTGGTCGCTGTATTTGCCTCTTTGTATCTTTGAAATTAACCAGTTGTCAAAGAAAGGCTGTGAGATGGAATCCATTAATAATGCTGATGAATACTTTGATTCAAGCGACGAGAATGAGAGTATTTACGACCTCGAGGACGAAGAATTAGACGAAGCCGTTCATGGATATCCCGAACAG